ACCATTGGTTTGATTGCAACTTTGCGGTTGATAGTGGGCCTAGGCAGGATCATGAATAGTTTTGGGATATGACTGCTTTTAGATGGGTGGTTATTGGTGTTTGTCGTTATGGTCTCCAATCAAAACAGGACTTACACTACACTAGACTGCTTGGATCTTGGTAGACTGGAGGATTGGGTTAGACTTCATCATCTTTGTAGGGTCCCCACCAGGTCAGGAAATCGGGAAGAAGTCGGAAATTTTTAGATGGGTGAGGAGGTCGGGAAAAAGTGGGGAATTTTGTGATGGGTCGGTAAGTCGGGAAAGGATCGGGCCTGTGTAATGTGTAGCTATCTAGACTGTATGGTTGATGAATCCTGAAGAGGAAACGTAATTGAACCGCTGTGGCGGAAGTGTATGTGTGACACCGAGGCTCGATCAGGAAGAATCAAGATCTACTTTCGCTTTCGTTACCGCCCAGAAATTTTCCGGCAATAGTCTGATAGATAACGCAACATTTGTAACATGCAGGATATGCATTATGAACGCTGTGTCGGCTTGAAAATAAATCAATATTAAAAATTGCCTTCTGCTGTCGCTTGTGAAAAAAAAAATGAAAAAAAAAAAGAACTTATACAAGCGTCTTGTTAGGTTCGCCCTCGTGACCGGTCAATGAACCTGTGAGTACCGGCGGTCTGAGCGCTGTGAAGTATAGGACTCCTTTATAAGATGCACTCGTGGAAGGGGATTGGCCATTGGGAGAGGGTGGGGAGCTGAAGGCAACGCTAGAGGACAAAAACTGAACTTGGAAGCAAATTTTTAGCATTTTGATAACTACTTTTGAGCTCTCTCTCTGCAAAGCGCACATTGGTACAGGCCTTGTGTGGAATCAGGATCCGTCATGCCTTGTTATTGAACTTAAGTGTTCGCGTTTCATTGGATGGGGTGATTGTAATTTATTTCTATATTTTAGCTTTCTGTTCAAGATTGGCAGATTTTCAGTGTCACTGCATCTTGCGCCCCCCCCCCCCCAGTTCTTACACCTCTCACACTGAATAGGTGTACTTGAGCCATTCTAGTTATTACTAATATTACTCTTCTTTGAGTTGCAGCAATGGTTTTCGTCTTCACACAATGTCAGCTTGTATTTTATCTGTGTATGGTTTGGGTCTTGCTTCCTTTGACTTGTTCAGTTGTTTTTCATCAACATTATACTGTGAAATTCTTTAATGGATGTCCGTTGCTTTAAAAAAAAATTGCCTGTTGTACATTTTATGCGTGAATTTTTATTAAAATCTTTCCATCAATGGAATTTTTTCCCTTTTTCCATGTTTGTCCAGAAAAAGGTCGTCTTTGGGACGCCATGACGATGGTGGATTTTGCGGCATGTGGATGGTGTTTAAGGTATTTCTTGTCATCCTGGTCTTTGCTGCCATCCTGTCTCTGGCCGTTGTCACCTTTTGGACTCTGAAGCAGATACAAGACCTTCAGAGCAAGGTTACAGAATGTAAGTATGAAATCATTTTGTAATAAGTATTCATTCTGTACCTGTCTGTGTTTCACATTTGTGTAAATCTTGTCGCTGTAGCTTGTTCACAATATTAACCCCTTGCCTGCTCTGTGGGCGTACCTGGTACGCACTAACAATTCACTCCCATGTGTGTGTGGGGGTACCTGGTACACCTGAAAAACCCGTATTTTGTTTCGTATGTATCTTCACTTCTACACAGTTTTGAATAACAAAGAGTTACATCCCTGTATTCTCTGTCCACTTGCCGATATGATCCTGCCTATTTTTAGGCTATTAGTATTGGAATTCGAATGAAGTAGCTAAAATAATTAAGAGACATGGTGTGTAGTGTGTTGTGCGCGAATGAGGAAGTCAAGTCTGCCTCTCTTAGGTTTTTGCGTGCAGTCTATATTTGCCACGATGGCTTCGCAAAGGTTGATAAGGTCTACGGATCAGGTTATTGCAGAAATTTATCGAGATGCAGACCGTGATGGCGAAGATTCCAATTCATCTGAAGAAAGATTTTGTCGTAGATCTATTCTCCAAGGAATCTCGAATACATAGATGGAATTTCTTAAAACTCACACCTGCCAAATTTTTCTACAGAATATTTATACCTAAAAATGAGTAACACCGTTGGATTGTGTGTTCATTACTCTTTTATTTGACATACACTTTGCTATATCTAGTCCTTATAGTAAGCGAGTTATAGCCATTCAAACAGCAGACCATGTCATACACAGTCACTGGGGAGATTTCTTTAGCACACGCGGTTTACTTATAGTTAGCAGTCAAGGGGTTAAAATGACTCTATCTCACATTTTCTGTTTACTTGTTGGGCTGTATCTGTATCACACCAATGAACCTTTTAGTTTGTTGAAACCTGCCAAATGCTGAACTAGAAGTTTAGCTGTATCACACTAATGAATCTTTTACCCTGTTTAAACCTGCCATATGCTGAACTAGAAGTTTATCTGTATCACACTAATGAATCTTTTACCTTGTTGAAACCTGTCATATGCTGGACTAGAAGTTCCACCCCACACACCTAAGGCTGAAAACATTTTCAGTATAGTATAACCACCCCAACAGTAACAGTTCAGTTTTAATTTTTGCTCGGATATAGGGTTTGATGTACCCTAAAGTTTTTGTTTATGTATTTTTGTATTTTTAATTTCCATTTTGAACCAAACTAATTAGTAAGCCTATGTCAGTCTTGAAGAATAAAATGACTCATGTGTTGTTGTTTTTTTCTTTATTGTAAACTGAAACAAGAATTGTTCCTGAAAAGTGTCTGTAAACAACATTTCCTGTCACACTACCAAGAGATTAGGTCCCACAAAGTTTATAATTGTCAAGCTGTTCCTGTTCGACTTACAGTAACTCACATACTTTTATTATTCCATATACTGATCACTGTTGTGTGTGACACAATCCATAGATGCTGGCATTTAGTTTTGTGTGGAGCTAATTCTAACTTTCATGTTGGAGTAGAATTTTTTTGTTCCAGTAAGATCTGGTAGAGGGCTATGATATTGGTCATTCTCTTTTCTTTTTTTTTAAACTACAGTTAATTTTCTGTTCTTCTTGTCGCTCGTATTAAGCTAAACTAACATGATTGAATGGAGTTGGTTTTCTACCTCTTCCCACCCTCCGACATTGCGAATTGCTTTTTTGTCCTCTTGTTTTTGCATTGATAATGTACCTTGTAGTATTTTAATCATGCTGATACACAGTGATTCATGTAATCTAAATAACAGTGCTTTTTTCTCCTTCCTCCTTTGGCAGCTGGTGGTCAATATTTTTGGTAATGGCTTCTTTCTTCTGTATAGTCACACACTTTTCATTTGGTGTTTCCTGGCCAGTAGCAGTTGTGTGTGGTATACCTGTTGTGCTGTTTTTGTGTCCCAAATCTTGATGACCCTCTTTGTTTTCTTTTCTATTTGTCATGTTTCCAGGGGGAAAAAGAGTTCTTGCTTCTGGTTTAAATTGTATTTAATGAGTAATATGTTTATCATGATTAACCAGAATGGACAAAGACTGAGACTATTATTTAAACAATATGCTGCAGATGAGTAGGATCAGACTGATGCCTGTGATGCGGTGATTAGGCTCTCCGTCATGTACCTTAGAGAATGCGAGTTAGATTCCCACATGGAAAAGATAGCTTTTCGAGCATCTCTGTCTATCTTTTGGGATCCAAAGGGGGGATATTAACATGTTCGTATGCACAGTAGAAATTGTAAATGGGCTGATTTATCAATGTCATGCTCATACTTTACCGGAACAACATAGGGGGTTCTGCTGATTTTTCTTTCCTCATCCTTACTATTGTCATTTTTTCTACTTCTTTCATATGTTTGTCACTCTCTTGTGAACTGCTATTTCTGGGGTGGCTTGATAGTCGAAGCAGACTTTTGAGGCTAGAGAGGTGAGCAGAGTAAGCCTGATTCCCCGTTTGGGCTTCTCTGTTGACATCCACCCCTTGGCGCTCATATGACCATATGCAGTTGCAAGCGCCGCAAAACCTTATTAAAACTAAGTACTTTCTTATGGGATGTATTCTACATGGGTTTGTGACCCTGACAGGAAGGCTGGAAACATTCTCCTCCACCCCCCATTGGAACTCTGTCAACGGGGAAGTAATACTTTAAGGACATCAACAGTTGATTGTTTGTTGGTACTATTGGTTATGGCCGTCATTATTTGACGGTTAGTCATGAGCTTAGCTATTCGAGCAGTAAATATTGGTTTTTGAAAATCTTTCAAAAGTCATGTCCCTAATGAAGTTTAATCAGGAACTGACAAACTTGTCAGCCTGAATGTTTTATACACTTTTATAAGTAGAACAAATAATTTGTATTAAATCAACTGAGCTCTATAGAATAAGATACAAGTATATGTGTATGAAAGCTTTTAGTTGAAGTCTCTAGTCTCTGTCTTGATGGATTGTATCGAAAGAGCTCTTAGATAAGAAGTGATGTTCACAGTATGCCTTTGTGCTGCTACTAAGTTGCTTCCTTGAAATGTACGTAACTTTTTTACAAAATTGAGAACTTGGTATAGACAGAGCATTTATACTTACTTACTTTAATATATCCGCCCTCTTGTACCTCTAGGGGGTCGAGGGGAGAAAGAGTGTCCTGTCTCTAGCAAGTTTGAGCATTTATAACGCCATAAATAATCAGATATTAAAGATCAGGATGCAAAAATGTTTTATCTCTTTAGACATCATCTGTCCATGAGGACTTCCGAATTTTGTAGTTTTTGAGGGACTGTCAGTCTCTCTTGTAAATTCTGTGTTCCTCTATCTTTCGCAATCCACCACTGTCTCTCAAAATTCTCTTTTTCTCTAAGTTTCTTGTCTGTAAGATAAAGAAGGGTGTGTTGTTTCTGTGGTCGTTATTTGATAGTTTCCTGTATCAGAGAGAGAGAAAGAGAGAGAGAGAGGGGGAGGGAGGGAGGGAGGGAGGCGTTTGTTCAGCGCTGCTCTTTGCGGTTACTTTCCAACTAGTTTGAAAAAAAAAAGGTTTCTCACGTTTCCTTGATAAAGTCTTTTTTTAACGATCGTTCTTTTTTGTCCGGGGTTTTCTGTTTGCGGGGTGTTTGCATTACATTACACCGTCTCCTCCGCGTCATTAGCGATCGATAGTTCCAAGTTCCGGGACATCATCATATGATTGATCTTGAACTTTTCATCAAAAGTCGCATTAGACGCGGGCTAGCTAGATCTAGTGACCATGGATAACCTAGGCCTTTCATGGATGTGTTCTTGAATTGTTATCTCATGCAAATTTTGCCACAGTATGTTCTAGGTCGAAGAAGCTAGATTGTCATTGTGTACTTAGGCTTGACAAGATTAGGCCAAAGTTTGAAGGCTAGATCTAGGTCTAGAGAACTTGTTAGAGAGATAGGCTAGATCTATATCAAGATCCACTCTGATAAAAATAACAAATATACACTTGTCGCAGCATTGTCTCATCGTTATCCTCTTTAGCTGTCCGTTATTGGCATTTAGGGAACTGACTTGCGCATAAAAGTCTATCGTCTGAGTGACAAAGTTCTGGGCTAAAAGCTCTTTGAAATTGTTCGATGTTCTTGTGTCCGATGGGTTGTGGACTTAGGCTGGTAGCGGTGTTCCCGGTCCGACTCGAGGCACTAAGCCAAGCCTACTAGTCTAGTCTCTTGGTTTTAGCATAGGTAAACAGAACACACAGCAGTCTAGAGTGAAGTTTAGAACTCTAGGGAGGAGAAAAGATGGCTGTCTGTATGTCGAAGATTTTGGTTGTGATGAAGTTTGTATAAATTGGAATGTGTTGATAGAGAGATCGTGAGGTTTGATCAACCAGATCCTGTACTGTGTGTAGAAGTAGAAGGGAAATTTCAAATGATCCACTCTATATTCAGCGTGTAGTAACTAAACTGTTGAGAATCATAATACTACCCTACCTTCATGCCGCAGTATGAGTATGTTACATTGTTCAAAGATGTTGCGACTCTACTAGATCTAGATTCTAGGTCTAACTCACTTTCATTTAAAACCCTGTCATGTATGAATTGTCCGCCATGCGATAATAATGATAAAATAACAAAGTGGCTACTTAAGTTCAGTTAGCCTGACAGTCTAGCCGTACTTGGGTTAGGCCCTATTGACCGAAACCTGTTGAATACACAGGTCTCATTAATAATTATTTAGGTTTAAAATATAATAGGCTACATGTGCACTGTCAGTAAGGCACTTTTTGGTTTTGTCTCAAATACATATATATATATATATATATATATATACTTTATTATATGGCCGGCTCTATTTCTCCGAACACTTGGGAAAATAAACTTGAACTCTATTTCTCCAAACGGGTTCCTTTCTCTAGATTTGTTGAATAATTGCGAATGGAGTGGCCTGTGTCGAGAAATACATGCGGATAACTTTAGAATGACAGATGTACGCCATTGGCCGATATTTATAGTAACAGCAATCTTGTTTGACGTCATTGAGCCAAAAAAAAAATCCGTGGCCGAACCGAGGCTCGAACTTGGACTTTCTGCTTTGGAGACAAGGGCACTAACCACTCCACCACCACGCCACTGTAAGCTACAGGCTTTAAAAATACTGCAATAATTGTGCTTTGCGGTCCTGTTGCAGCCGTGAACGCCCACAAAGTGGGAATCCCTCAATGACATTAAACAAGATAGCTGTTACTATAAATATAGGCCAGTGGCGTACATCTGTCGTTCTAAAGTTATCCGCATGTGTGGAGAAATAGTCACTTCGTTATTATATTATATATATATATATATATATATATATATATATATATATATATATATATATATATATATATATATATATATATATATATATATATATATATATATACTAAAAATATATTTGTAATTCAGTAGGCCTATTTTTTGCTGTTTGTCAGTCTAGCCATCATTATTTAAGTAAGCCTAGCCTAGCAGTCTAGCTGTCTTTAAGTTAATAATTCCATCTAATTAAATGTGCAGTAGATGCGATGGGAAAGAAAACATCACACTTGTAACAGTATCAACCCAGTGCGCAAAAGTACCGTTTTTATACCGTATAAAAACCTGTAAAAAGTAATGTTTATTATGGGGTGGATTGTTTGGAATTTTTCTCGTTATCACTGGAGAAATAGTTGCATTATTAATGATTAATGTTTAGAAACATCTATTGGACTGGTGGAGTTTAGACATAGTTTTTATTATTTCTCTGTGACTTTTCTTGCATTATACAGCAAAGATTGCCGAAACAGACGTTTGTCATGGTGTTTTCAGCAAGCATGTCAGTGTGAGGTGCTGGATGTTTTCCCAGTAGTAGCGTTGTGACCCAGATTTGACTTTTGTGCTGATCATTGCCTCTTGGTGGAGTAAGAGGCCTCACGGCTAGCTAGCATGATGAAAGCAGATGTCGATTATAAGTTGCCAAAAAGGATGAAAAAGCGTCGGCAGCTAGATGCCTTAGTGGACACTGTCAAATTACCTCGGAACCGAATAAACAGCACCAGTGCTCAGGAGCTACTTGACTATCACTCAGATTCTTCAGATTTGGAGGAGTACTCGGCCAGCTCTATAGGACATTCCAGGAAAAAGTAATTTCCCTCACTCGTACATTTAATCATAAATGCAAGAAGTTGAAAATAATCTGACTCGTTTGTATTCATTTTGGGGGAGAAAGTATAAATGGATATTGCTATTATGATTTATGTTGGTTTCAATTTTGTTTGAGGTGTCCGACAGGTTGTGTGCGACTGTTAAAGATAAAGTTGCCATGTAGGCTATAAAATTATAGTTTTCAAATTTTCTTAAAAAGTAAAAGTTCTTTGTTTTAGCCTCAATGTTCCTTTCGATAGTTAAGTCATATATATATATATAGTAATAATAATAATGGTCCGAGAGAAACACCAAAGTTATTATAAATTTTAGATTTGGGCTTACACATAAATTATGATACATTTTAATGTGGTGAAAGGAGCATTGATTTTTAATATAGCGGTATTACAATAATAGCAGAGACCCTATGGTAAGCTGATTTGGTGAAAAAAAGATATATTCAGATTCTTAAATCTAATGTGGTCATCTCGGTTTTAACTTTCTCACTTTCTGAAGTAATCACTAAGTTTTGCATTTCCCTCGTCAGATGTTGCTTATGTCACACGGTTGTGGCTCGCATTGGGTTATTCATGGTCACTATGGCATGTCTCACAACATGTGTTGGGTTGGTGTGGGTCCAGTGGCACATTCGACATGAACTTGATATTCTGCGCAGAGAAGTTAATTCAGGTAATTTCTCGGGTCAACCTGTTTATTTTTTCCCTCCTTGTGTTTCGTCCGTTCAGTTCACGCACCGGTTTATTTCCCCTCGCTGTTTCACAATTCCATGTGTGGGACGTTTGCTTTCGTGCAAGTTATTTGTGCTAGTGGTTGGCATGTGTGACAGGGTGAGAATATGACATTAGGATTTGTGAAAAAGATGTGCTTGGGAGTGTAATGGGGTTGGAAATGGGGTTTGTGTTGAGAAAACGATTAAAACCGTCCTGGAGTTAACAGGCGATTGTAATCGGCTGTATGTTTCATTATGTAATGTGAAGGCTGATTTAATTGGCCGAAATTTGAATTATGAATTGAGTTGCTATTTCGGTTAGTTTACCCAGGGCTTTTTAAAATAACATTCCCAGATATTTTAACTCCTTCACAAATGAACTTTTTTTTCTATTTATAAAATTTAGATTCTCTACTTTCTTAAAATGTAGATTTATAGCCTTTACTAGCATGGATTGCCCGTCCTCAAGCGTTTACTAACATATGTGGTGAAATCTTATATATATTTTCAACAACACAGGTTATATTTGTTAGCGAGATATTTGTAGAAATGTATTCGGGATGGAGGGATGAGAATACAGGATTAAGTTTGTGAAAGACTTAACCAATCGGCCAGAACGACTCGCTCCTTGTCATTCCCGTTTATATTATTATATCTCTTCCACCAGAATAACACAGAGGGTGTCATTTTTGGGGCCCTATTAAATAATACACACAATTTTGTGTTCAGTCCTCAAAATCCATGTTTTTTTTAGAATTGCTCAAGTTGAAATTAGACATGATGAGACTTTCTTTCTTTGTGAGAATTCAAAACTTGAAGAAACTTGAAGGCACTTTTTTCATGTGGCGGCACATTGTATCACAGATGAATATTGGATTTGGTGTTTGTGTCACTTTCCATATCAAGATTGTTTAATTAAATGCCTTTTCAATACCCCCCTGCTTTTCCTGCTTTTAATCTCACTGTCTGCTTCCTGGATATGACTTCTATGGTTAATCTTTTTGCATGGTGGACAAGATGCATCTAGTTCCAAAATTGTAGGTGAAACAAAAACTTCTGCGTGCGAGTTCTTAAATTAAAGCACAGATTTATTTCTAGCTGTTCACGAAAATCCACGAAATTAATTACTGGCTGATAAAAGTTCATTTTCCCCAGGAAATAGCAACTAGGACAGCTCATTTTTCTTGTTATGTATTCTTTTCTTGTTTTTGTTCTTGAAATATGATATCGTGTCCCTGAGGCTGTTTTTCTTATTTATATTTAGTTTGTCTATTTATTTTTTTTTAGTGTTCTCTTTTTGCTAACGGCACATGTAATTTCACAGATCTGGTTCTGCTATTGTATCACCCCCTGTATGTTCTATCATTCTTTGTTGTATGTCCACGCTTAAATGTCATTCTTCCTCATTCATTTCACTTTCATTGTCAGTCTAATCTAGTAGCACTCTACGTTGTTTTTATATTAATTATGATTTTGAATATTTTGTGAGTAGGAATGTTTTCAGTTCAGAACAATATTGTGTAAGGGGGTCAAAATAACATGCTATTGATGGCAGTTTTACACTGATTTGTGCATAAAATTAAAAAAATTTTTTTACTTTTGTGGTTAATGCGTGATTGAGAGTGAGTTACTTCTTTTGTGAATAACTGATACTGGGTGTGTTACTTTTATGGTTTATAAAACTGATGGAGGGTGTATTACTTTTGTGGGGTCAATAATGATAGCGGGTGAGTTACTTCTGTGGTTATTATTTATTTTTGATGGAGGATGAGTTCTATCAAAGAAATGACCTCCTTTTTCAGTCTCATTTTCCTTTTTCTGTCATGTGTGGTCGCTTTTAAGCACAAAGGGGCTATCCTGAAAAATGCTGTTTTGAGAAAATCGAAGTTTTTTTATTTACCGTTGTTCAGTTTCTTTAAAAGACAAGGAGAGTTTTCTCTATAATCAAACAAATATACACACACCAGTGAAATCAAACTTCTCCTAAGGTAGGGCAATGCCCACTTTTGGTGTAGGTCAAGATTTCTGGAAACCCCCGAAATCTGGGTTAGCCCGCTTGTCCTTAAAAGCGACCATTTACATGTGTGTTCCTTAAATATATATACAGTGGTCTCCACCTAAGAACCCGGTCATCGGGAGACAGAAAAAGTGGGTGGTTGGTGGGTGCTCTGGTTTGGTTTGCTCCTTCTTTCCTGTCAAACATCTGTCGTCCTGATCTCCCCTTCTTCTTTTTGTGTATGTTACTCTCTTGTAACACTTAATCTGTTCTTCAGCACTTATTTGACCTTATTGTGTTGCAAGTGCCGCAAAACTCTTACTTAAAACTAAAAAGACAGAAAAAGTAGGATCTTAGGCGGGCCGGGTTCTTTGGCAGATTTCAATACAGACACAGCTCAGCTCCTTCCTATAACTGTGTTCCTTTGCTTATTTTGTAGTGAAGTAGTTTTTGGCAACACTGACGCCACAGGGAAGGTAGCGCTCAAGCTTTGGTATTTTTTTGAAAATTACGTTCTGTATATATATAAGTATGTATAGTGTGAAAAATTCATTGTTCGCTAGTCCAGGACAACTCCTCTACCAGTCAATCCAACGCGAGCTAATTATGGTGCCGCAGCTCAGAAAAGTTTATTGCCTGGAGTTCAGACTTGATTCTTAGACAGATTTCTATGTTTAGATGGGTTCTTTAGCCTGTATATTTGATAGGTAAAATTTCTGTTGCACTGTAAAAGCTGGTTCTTGCATATATATTGTGTTTTCAGGTAGAGACCATTGTATGTGCATGCTACGTGTTGTTTTTTTTTGTTTGTTGTTTTTTTTTTCTTTTCTCCTAAGGGCACAAACCTTTTATTACAGTTTAGTCATAATACCCTTGTTACTTGCAAATTCTGAAGTGATGCATTTGATGTGCGAGTTACTTAAAAAAAATATGATTTTGATATTGCATTTTGTTTCTATTTCTGTTGATTTGTAATAAAGGTCTACTAGAAGAATCTGTTAAGTGGGGAAGAGGAAAATTTAATCTCAAACTCTGATCACTGAAAAATTGTTGTTTTTTATTTAATGTAGTTTTTAAAAAAGTGAAGGTGTTGTTCACTAGATTTGACAGAGGTAGAGAGAAAGAGAAATTACTGTATTTGCACACACACACACACACACACACACACACACACACACACACACACACACACACACACACACACACACACACACACACACACACACACACACACACATGTACACTCACACACACCGACACACGCCCCCCCCCCCCCCCACACACACACACATACTCACTCTCTCTTACCCTTGTGTTATAACTTGTAACTGGATCTGGAATCAAATTGATTAAAAAATTTTGTGTGCTTTTCAGAAGTTTTAATATCAAACGGTGCCCTAATTTGAATGCAGATACTTTCAATTAATGAGTTCCAGTTTTGTTGGTTTCTTCCAGGAAAGATCAGTAAAGTGCATTTTTTTTCCTTTTATAAATAAATATGTAATATACAATTCCTACCGAATCTGTATAAGACAGCCATGCGTTGTCAAGGAGAAAGGTGGCCGTAAAAGACAGGTACGGTCTGACCAAAATAAAGAAAACAAACCATTTACTACTTCTGAGGTCCTAACTGGAGGTGGTCGCAGGTTTAGGACTGCCGTAGGGCTCCTTAAAATGTTTTGATTTGTTGTTGTATTTTTTTCTTTTGGAAGGGGGAAGAAGATAGGATGGTTTTTGTGGGACTTTTTGTTGGTTTTATTTTCTTTTTAAATCATGGTTCCGTGAAAGGTTGAAACAAAACAAAATGTGTGAGACGAGGAAGGCCAAGTGCCATAGCAAAATGGACAAATGGGTCGCCACCACTCTGCGAACGAGCAACACTTCTTTCACGAGTTTGAGTTGACTTCCATTGTTATTTAAAACTGAAATCTGTGGGGCTGCTGGTTTTCCTTTGGTTTAATAGTGGTTTTGGTTTGGAGAGACAGCTCAAATAGTGAAGAGAAAAAAATATTGGGTATTCTATTTTATTACGGTTTATTGCTGTTTTCCGATTCACCATGTTTGGTTTAAGTGGACTCCACTTAACATATCTTGTCATTTACCAAGAGATTGTTTTTTTACCTTTGGGGTTTTTTTTAACCTCAACTTCTCTCCCTCCCGTCTTGACACCACAGTGCAGAATGCGGACAAAACCTCTCCCGAACTGATGAAGTTCCAGTCTCAGCTGACTACTATCAACGGCACGGTCAACAGTCTCAAAGCGGAGAACATACAGAGCATGACCAAAGACATCAAGGGACTGAAGGACCAGGTGAGAGAGGCCGACGGGGAGGTACCATTAATGTTTTAGTCATCTATACCCTTGGTGCTCATATTTCATTGTGCAGTTGCGAGCGCCGTAAAACCTTACTAAATCTAACTCTTAACTTTTTGCTAAAAAAAAGAGGAATGGGAACACTTGTATGATTAATAAAGTTATGCCTCTTTTTAACTCTTTATCTCCTAAGGGGTAAACCCACTATTGTTAACCTTGAAGGAATAGGTCACTCAAACATGGTGGTGTCAGTGGCCTAGTGGCTAGGCTCTCAGACTCGCATCCGTAAGGTCATGGGTTCGAATCCCGTCGGGGGCCTGACACTGTGTGCTTGGGAAAGGCACTTTACATGAGTTTTCCTCACTTCACCCAGGTGGGAATCGGTACCCTTCTATGGACAGTGAAAGATTTTGTCGGTTTGTTACTGTTAGTGTTTAAGCACTTAATCAGCTGCTTGCACTGTATGCTTCCCTGGAAGCTAGAATGTTTCCGCGTTTTCTTTGGTCAGTTGGGGTAATAATATACAGTGTAAAGCGAATAGAGCTTGCTGTATGGGTGGTTGGCGGGTGCTCTGGTGTGGTTTGCTTCTTCTTTCGTATCAAACATCTATCGTCTTTTTCTACCCTTTTTCCTTTTTGTGTTTGTCACTCTCTTATAACACCTCTAATCTTCAGCCCTTAAATGACCTTATCGTGTTGCAAGTGCGATAAAATACTTATAAAAACTAAAAACTAAGCTTGCTGTAAAGCGGGGTTATGTGCTATACAAATGCTATTTATTATTTGTGATAACTTTGTCCTCAATAGAGACTGACAGTGTAAAACCCTCTACTATTAAAAAAAACAAAACTGACGGTATTTCTTGAAGGCAGGGTCACTTGGAGACGAAGGGGTGATCGGATCAACATAGCTTTTATCCCCCAAACAGAGACACTGGCAGTATTTCTTTAAGCATTGGGTCTCAAAGACGAAGGGGTAATGGGATCAACATATGATAATATTTCTTTTGACTTTTGATTTCTTGTGATGTTTCCAGATGGACAAACTGGCGGCAGATACAGAGAGATTGTCCAAGTCCGTGACATCAGCCTCCGAGATTCTTGACATTCCAAACAAACTGAAAAGTCTACAAGAAGTAAGTTATGAATACAACTAAAGCCCTGGTTACGCGCCTCGATACATTGTACAAAAACTGGATGATCTATCGATCATGAGACAAATCGTTAGGTGTAATCACAAAATTGTACAAAGTTTCGACGATTGGATGATGGTTTGGAGACTTGGTCGAGAAATCAAGTGCTGCTTGATATTTTCCGTGCTATTCAGGCCAGTTGTGGAGGAGATGTGCTGTGACGTAGAATCACTTTGAAATTTGCTGCCGCACAGGATTAAACTTATGGCTCAAAATTTTAAAGATTATTATGGCAGGTAAAAACGGATTTCATATTTGGAATCAGCATCTCAAAAAAGCAAAGTTGTTCATGAAGAACATGATTTGATGCCTTTTTATGTATATTACCAATTTTATTATTTAGTTGATCGTCAATTGTGAAGTTGTATCAAGGTCACCCGGTGTGTTGCACATCTGTTGTCAAGTTCATGACTAGGAATCTCCCTGATCGAAAGACAACTGGATGATAGATTGGAACGTCTAAACAGACTACACAGCTCGATAAAACGGACAGTTCTCGCATACAACGAATCTGACACAATTTATCGTTACGTGTAACCGGGCCATTAGGTTGTGAATTTTTGTATCTTCCCCTGTCTCATCTTCTCCCGTCTTCTTGTGAATGGTTGGTAGGTGCTCTAATATTAATTATTTTTTAAAAAGTTTCTTATTGAATTCTTTTCCTTGTCTGTGTTGTCACACTGACGTCTGGAGTAATGGCCTTTTCCCGTCTTGATATCAAGGATGGTTCTCCCTTCTACTTGTCTCCATCAATTACTTTTCCTGTCTTGATTCTCAGAACATATTTGTGACACGTTGTGGTGGAATCAAGCACTCGTCAATTTTTGGGCATATGGATTTATTGGTATCATCTTAAAGCCTGTCCATGTGCCTTGGTTTTGATTTTAAAAAATATCCATTTATCTTGGATACAAGTCAAAATATTGGCGATTGAAGGAGGAAGTGGTCGCCTGGTTACAGGGGTAAAATAAGTGAGAAAGTGGCCGCCAAAGTTAAGTTATTTTCTTAGTTTGAGAATGCGTGTAAACTTTAAAAATTACATCTTTTATTCCTTTTATCAACGTTTTTCAGTAAAATCCACTCAGAAATGTGTTCTTTAATGGGCATGAAAGGTGTCGAGCCAAAGTACAAAAATTCGATAAAAATTCCCGAACCTGCGGAAAAATGCCAGTTTGTTGACTTTCATTATTTTGACGAGTGCCTGATTTCACCACGCTGCCTCTCATTTGTTTTTCTTTTTCTCCATCTTTTCTTTTTTCTGTCCTCTCCATTACAAATATTTTTCCTGTCCTGGTAGTAAGGAAGGATATCTCTGTTCTCTGATACTGTTTTCCTTCTCTGTTCTGGGAGCCGTTAGGCCATTGGCAGACTGATTATCTGTAAACTACGGCTGAACATTTATTCTTGCCTCTCAATTTGTTCCAACCGTTGCAGATGGTTTGAGGGTGTCACTGGTAAGTCTTACTTTCTTCTTTCCCTCTTTTTTTTGTTTCTGTCTGTTTCTTGCTCTTTCCATGCACTATTTTATTTATTTCTTTATTATTTTTTTTATTAAAACAATTTTTTTTTGGCAGATACTATTCTTATGGTGTGTGGGTATGATATTTGCATTGTAGTGTGGAGATCTCTAGTTCAAACACTTGTAGAATAGACCTAGGTTTGTTTCTCAGGGAGTCATGAAAATTTTATTGTGCTGGTTCAGTCCTGTTGTAGATATGTGTGAAAATGATTTGAGCCAACTCGCAATTCTCACTCCTATGATTTGTAAAAAGTGGCTGTAGACAAAACTCAAAAGAAAGTATATTTTCTACAACTTTTTGTGTTTGTTTGTTTTAATGTGATTTTTACTGTTTTGATGTGCTTCTCTTTACTCTGAAGGAACAAAGGATCTGGACAGTATAAAATAAAAGTGTGAGTTTGGGTGGTTGGCAGGTGCTCTTATGTGGCTTACTCCTTCTTTCCTATTAAACATCTATTGCCATTATCTCCCTTCCGTCTTTTTTGTGTTTGTTTTACTCTCTTGTAACACCTTTAATCTTCAGCACTTGTATGACTTTACTGTGTTGCAAGTGCCGTAAAACACTTACTAAAACTAAACCAAAAAAAAAAGAGGGAAGTGGTCATTTGTACAGGGCAGCTGGCTGTTTTAAAGCAGTTTTAACTGTAATGATAATTATAGATCTAATGATTCAATTTCGATTACAAAATGCAGATGGACTAGGCATGAGTCTAATAAGGAGAGTTGTTTAGCCATTTCACTGCCTCGGAATTACTTAGTTCTGTCTGGCATTTTTTGCCGTTTTGAGTTACTGAGACCATGAGGTCAGAAACCAAAAGTTTTATCTGCCTATCAAAATCGTAATATTAATCGGAGTTGTTATCAAGATATTCAAAGATTTAAATTTGGAAAAGCTTGACATGTTGTGACAATCAATATTTTTTGTGTCAAATTTTTCAAAACTAGGTGCTGAGCCGATAGAACTTAGTAAATCTGAGGTAGTGATGTAGAACTTGATATTGCTGTCACTTGATTTGAAGCTCATTTGCGATAAATTGATTGCATCTTCAGATAACATCAGTCATAATGGCACTACATGTGTTTTGGTGTCACATCCCCCCCCCCCCCCGGGGATGGTGCTACTGACTGAAGTGTCTTTAGGCCGTTCCCAAAGGGGGTACATTAACCTGTTCATATGCACAGTAGAATTGTAAATGGGCTGATTCATTGATGCCAATCTCATAACGGTGCCTGAACTACAACAGGGAACTACTGCTTTTTCTTCCCTTATCCTTAATATAGTAATTTTTTCCTCTACTTCTTTTGTATGTTTGTCATACTCTTGTGACCTGCTATTTCCGGGGTGCCTTGATAGTCGAAGCAGACTTTGTGCTGTTGAAGCTAGAGAGGTGAGCAGAGTAAGTCTGATTCCCTGTAAGGACTTCTCTGTCGACATCCACCCTTTGGCGCTCATATGACCTTATGCAGTTGCGAGCGCCGTAAAACCTCTGCTAAAAGTAGGCTAAAACTAAAATTTGTCTTATTTTGTTTTTGCTGTTTTTCTCCTTAATTTCACTAGACTGTTGCGACTGCTACAAACGAACTTGTGGACTTGAAGCAGAAAGTTGAGAAGCTGATGGAACCAAAGGTAAAATGTCTAGATTACCTTCAGCCTGCATGCTTAATCTGCTACTTTTTACTCATGGAATTGTAAGCTTTAAAAATATGTGAAGCTTGCTCACAAAATGAGTTACTTCTCGGATTGGAGCCCTACGGAAAGAGATACATCAAGCTTATTGGTGAAGTTTTTACGGTTTATAAGTATGAAGTAATGAAAGGCATGTTACACTTAGAGAATATGGCATCAATACAAAATCTACAAATTGGATCCTAGTGTCGACTTTTGGCTAATATCTCCATTTGTGGATTGCGAGAAGTAACTCATTTTGTCAGCACGCCTCACTTATATATAAATTAAAATTCCAGAAAGATTTTTGTGAAACTTTTCACATCCACAAGGCCATTTTGTTGAAAGAAAATATTCTTGTCTTCTTTATTTGTTAATTAATTTTTTGGCTTGTAAATTTTCTTTGATTGTTCATTTGGTATCCTGTAAAGACATCTTTTGTTCTCGTGATAGTACTGAAACTGTAAATCATTTGTCTCTTTTTTTCGTTGGGGGGTTACACACATACAAGTCAAATTTCACCTTGTGTGATCTCTCAAATTTGTCCTTGTCTCTACTGGTACCAGTTTTCCTCATGCAGTTTTTTGTTTTTCTCCCCCCCCCCCCCCTCCCCTCCCACATCTCTCAGCCCTCTCCTGCGTCGCCTTCTGCTGCCAGTACGCCTGCCTCAGAGCTCAGTGCTGCAGGTGTAGATGCACAGGTGAGTAGTTGAGAGTTGTTACCTGTGGTATGGATGTACAAATGTGTAGGTGAGAGTTGTTACCTGTGATATAGATGTACAAATGTGTAGGTGAGAGTTGTTGCCTGTGATATAGATGTACAAATGTGTTGGTGAGAGTTATTACCTGTGGTATAGATGTACAAATGTGTAGGTGAGAGTTGTTGCCTGTGATATAGATGTACAAATGTATAGGTGAGAGTTGTTACCTGTGATATAGATGTACAAATGTGTAGGTGAGAGTTGTTACTTGTGATATAGATGTACAAATGTGTAGGTGAGAGTTAATACCTGTGGTATAGATGTACAGATGTGTAGGTGAGATTTGTTACCTGTGGTATAGATGTACAGGTGTATTTGGTATGTGTGTACAGGTGTATATGGTGTGTGTGTACTGGTGTGGGTGTACAAGTATGTAGAGGCATGCTGTCACCCGTTAATCTTTCTCCTTCGTGTTAGTATTCACAGTCAAACATGTTGTACTCTTCCACAGTATGCGACCATGCTGTCTGAGGAGTTCTTGAATCTGAACAGGTCAACGGTCTCCCAGTTGTCCGAGGTGCGCAAAGCTCTGGACCAGCAGTCGGTATGTCTCACAGACTATTTTAGTTTTCTAAGAGTTTTACGGCACTTGCAACACAACAAGTTCATATAAGTGCCGAAGAATAGAGGTGTCTCAAGAGAGTAGCGTACACAAAAAAGGAGGAGAGATCAGGATGATAGACGTTTGACAGGAAAGAAGGAGCAAACCACACCAGAGCACCCGCCAACCACCCACTCACAGACTATGCACTTGTAGACTGTGTGAACTTCTGAATATAATACCAACCTTCCTCTTTTGGTGTTCATTTTACTACCCTAGAACTACAAAGTTCTATCTGCTAAGTATCTAGTTTTGAGAAATTTAACGTTAAAAAGGATCGTGTTTCACATGTCGAACTTTTCGAATGCAAAATATTTTGATAACGGACTCGGAATAATATTATGATTTTGATCGAGCAACTAGAACATTTGGTTTCTGACCAAATAGTCTTAATACGTCAAAACAGCTGAAAATATCAGATAAAACTTTGTAATTTTATAGTAAGGATTCGTCCGTATGGTTAGATATTGGTGGAATCTTAAGTGCCCGGGACTCTGCAGTAAGATCTGACTTTTAAAATATTTCCATGCTTTTTGTCTCTATCGTTCTTGTTTGTGGGTGGTTGGCAGGCGCTCTGATGTGATTTGCTCCTTCTTTCCTGTCAAACATCTACTGTCATTGTCTCTCTTACATCTTTTCTTGGCATGTTGCCCTTCAGAAACTCCTTTAATCTTTGCACTTACGGGTGACATGACCTAATTTAAAACATTTTTTTTTCCTTTGGATGGTTTTTGCAAGCAAAGATGTAAAGGAAAGTAAAATTATTCCGCGGAGTATTTGCAATAATAGGACTGGTCGTGTGAGTATTTGTGGTTTTGATGGGGGAGAAGAATAGCTTCTGGCTTCTACATTTGTTCATTAGGTTGAAGGTTGCCGAGGTGTGAGTTAAAATTTATCGTGTATTAAGTTACAAGTTGTCGCATTAAAAGTTGCAATTTTTGTGTATTAAGTTGCAAGTTATCATGTATTGGAATAAAACATTTTTATTATTATTATTTATTATTTTTTTGTGTGTGTGTTTTACGGCACTCGCAATGCATAAGTTCATATGAGCGTGCAGGACACATTAAACATTTTCAGTTGGTAGGAAATTTTGAATTTTGCCCAGATGGCGGCCGAAGCCTTCTCTTATCGATTTTAGACCACCAAGGGATCTTTAAAGTGCACAACTTTTCCTACCAGATCAGGGGTGGGGCTGAAAGACAGCAGTAAGAAGGAGCCAAGGAGTAGCAGTAGAAAGGTTGCAGAAAGAGTCGGAAGCCCAGAGGAAGGGGTTATTATAGGAGTTGAGGGGGAGGAGGTAGAAAGTGGAGACGAAAGCAGATGACAGAACATTGTTAGAGAGCAGGAAAGGAGGTGAAAGGGGATAATTTTAGAGAAGAAAATTTTTCCATTGCTACCCGAATTCAAACCCTAGACCTTTGAATGAGAGCTGAACACCTTAACTTCTAGGCCACGAGGGCTCCCGGTTACTACTTATATATTCAGCTGCAAATTAACCTTTTTTTTGGTTGGTCACGACTTATCATGTATCAGTTAAAGTTGTCATTTATTCAGTTACAAGTTAGCATGCAATTAGGAGTTGTTATGTATTCAGTTACTAGTTGTCATTTATTC